TTTGTAGATGATCTGTTATGAAGGAACAGATAACTGAAACAGACAACTGAAACAGACATCTTACGGTTCCCTCTCTCTCTGCCTCTCTCTCTCTCTCTCTCTCTCTCTCTCTCTCTCTCTCTCTCAGTGGCTCCAAAGGCTACATGCCTGGGTTTCTATACCCTCCTTCTGTGCCATCTTCTACTTATTCCTGGTTCCCTCCCAATTTTATTCCAAGGCACAAAGTACACATCTTATGTAAAATGTTCTTAACAACACGAGAGAGAGTATTATACCACTAACTGTGGGAGACATACAGTTAAGACCTGTATTAGGGTTTGTTCAAGAAAGGGGGCATTTGCTATCAAATGCTTGTTGGGGGACAGGATGAAATGATGCTGTTGGAAAGCATTTCTTCAAGTGAGGTTTCAGGATTTTGTCCAACTTGCGAAAATAAAGTTAGAGAAGTAGTCACTTACGACATTTGTGTGTGCATTTACATCTCTAGAAAATTACAGCCAAGCCTAAGGGAACGCTCATTAAATACTGTTAACTAAGATCTTCATATTGTGGATTTTAAAGGAAGATAACAACATTCACCTGAGGACAAAAACATGCTCTGTTGGGCTTCCCTGGTGGCGCAGTGGTTGAGAATCTGCCTGCCAATGCAGACGACACAGGTTCGAGCCCTGGTCTGGGAAGATCCCACATGCCATGGAGCAACTGGGCCCGTGAGCCACAATTACTGAGCCTGCGCGTCTGGAGCCTGTGCTCTGCAACAACAGAGGCCGCGATAGTGAGAGGCCTGCGCACCGCAATGAAGAGTGACCCCCACTTGCCACAACTAGAGAAAGCCCATGCACAGAAATGAAGACCCAGCACAGCCATAAATAAATAAATAAATAAATAAATAAATACATTGTGTATTATTTATAAAAAAAAAAAAAAAAAAAACATGCTCTGTTGATGGATAATGTTAAATTCCCTTGGCAGGAAATTCCTCCAAAGCATTGTCTCCAGAAAGCCAGGGGCTCTCAGGGCGTGGCCATGTATGCTTTGGGTTCCTGTGAGGTGAACATCACAGGTTTCCAAAGGAGGCTAAGGCAGCCTCTGCTGACTTTATATCAGATCAGGCCTGAAACGACATTTGAAAAGGAGTCAAACTGCCTTATTCTAAGTTGTTTTTACCAGAAAGGCAAACCTGATGAATATTAACGACTTTCTTCCCAGAATCATGTACGTACACAGGTCTTGCATATAACTTTGGCCCATCATGGATCCCAGGTTAAAAACCTCTATCATGGTGGTACACTAGCTCCCTCAGGACTTGGAGACATACACTCTGCTGCAGCCTTCATCCTAGGAATGTGTCCACTGACACTCCTGCACTGGCTTCCACAGGAACATAAATCTCGCTGCGAATCATCCCACTCTCTCACAGAGACTAACGAAGAATATATAATGAAGCACAATACTCTTTCAATATGCACCTCACCAGATACACAGCACAGAGGAACATAATTTATAATCCACCAAATCAGATGAGTATTTTCACCAGTTCCTGCCCATATACTTGCAGGCCTGGCCATGCATTTCATATTTCATTTCTATTTCTATGTTTTGTGCTCAAGGCGGGATGGCTGCTTGTTTACACAAGTTTCAATATTGTGATTAGCAGTATCCGGTCTTTTTTCTATCACACTACTTTTCAATGTTTCTGGCTTTAAAGGCCCAAGGACACCAAAAAACAGTTGAGGTTCAAAAATCATTAGATGTTGCCTGCTATAAGCTCGTACATGCCCCTTAGGGACATGAAACATAATCAAACTCCTTAGAAATCTGTCTCAACATTTAATATTATTTTATTTAACTAAAGATTAAGTTTAAAACTTATCATTTTGAGAAAGGGGCATATGTGACACTCAGAGATGGACTTATGCTCTATTTTCAGAGAATTCTGTTGAGACTGCTAAAAACAATGGTTTACAGTTATTGACACTTACTCCTGGCTGGATTCTTGGCTAAGTCTTTTACGTAAATCACCTTATCTAATCCTCACAACAAACCACATGAAGGGAGGTGGCTCACTGGCTAGCTGGTCATCAAACTTGCTTCCCTTTGCTCTGCACAGTTGGGTGCTTTCCCAGCCTCCCTTGCAGTTGGATGGGCTCATATGACTGAGTTCTGCCAATGGAACGGCGGTGAAAATAAGGAAAGCATCTTCTAGGCTTGGCCCATATAATCTTACTCAATTCTCCTTGCTCTCTCATTTCCCCCACCAACTGGTCGATTGTAGGATCTGCAGAGCAGAAGGCAGAGCTACAAGATGGAAGGAACCTGGGTTGCTGAATCACGGTGCAGTATCCCACCCCCAGAATACCCACAGTAAACTGGTATGTGAGCAAGAGATAAACTTCTATTGTCCTGAGTCACTGATATTTTGGGGTTATTTGTCACAGCAGTTACACTGTACTGAAAGTACTTTTATGAGCATAGAGAGGCTGAGTAATCTGCTCATGGTCACACAGCTATTAAGAGGTAACAGATTTAAATCCGAGTGTTTTGTTTTTAGAAAACATGTTATTAACTGCTATTTGATTATATTCCCTTTTTCCAAGTTAATTTTCATCATACGCAACATAATATTCTTTTATACCTGATTTACTATATTTGTGGGAAGTGGTTGGACAGAGTCCAAAGTTTGAGAGAAAGAGAAGATAATTTCTTCAAATAAATTATCTGATTTCATATCTTTTTATTAACTATGTAAGAAAAAGGCTATGTTGCTTACACAATTTTGCAGGAGACCTCTGTTACTCTGGGAAAGTTTATATTCAGAGATTCTTTAGTAATTACTAACGCTCTATAACAAATTATCCCCCAAACTTAGTGGTTTAAAGCATTTAATATCTTTCCCACGTTCTGTGAGCCAGGTATTCAGGAGAAGCTTAGCTCAGTGGTCTCTTATGTGGTTGCACTCAAGGTGTCGGTTGGGGCTATATCATCTGAAGGCATGACCATTCACTTCCAAAGTGGCTGACTCACACATGGCTGGCAACTTGGTCTGGTTGTTGGTAGGAAGCCTCACTTTCTCTCCACTGGGCTGTGTGACCACCATCACAACATGGTGGCTTGTTTGCCCCGGAGTGAACAAGTCCAGAAACCAAGGCAAATGCGACGAGGTCTTAGGACTGCTCAGCAAAGTCACAGACCATTATTTTTACAATTTCCTATTGATCAATTCCTACTCATCACATTGGGATCAGTGCCGATCGCTTATTCACAGTTGGAAGAGGATACACAAGGGAGCGACTACTAGGAGACAGGGGTTACCGGGAGCCACTTGGGAGCTTAGCTACCACAGGAGCCCACCCATTCATCCAACACATATGCACTGAGCGCATACTGAGGAACCGGGGACAAAGCACAGAAAAAAACAGACTAAAGTCCCTGCTTTCATGATACACACATTCTACAAGAGGCCAGAAAGGCAATAGGTGTAATCAATAAGTAAATTATATAGTATGCCAGAAAGTGGTAAGTGCTGCGGAGAGAGACGGCATGATCAAGGGGAGCGGGAATGCCGGGGTTGAGACTGTTCGCAATTTAAAATAGAGAGATGTCGGTGGGCCTCACTTAGGCTTGAAGGAGATGAAGAAGTAGGCCAGGAGGAAGAGTGTTCCAGGCACTGCAAACGGCAACTGCAAAGCCCTTGAGGTGGGAGCGTGTGCCGTGTGCAAGGACCAGCAAGGCAGTCGAGTTGGCCGTAGGAGGGAACTCAAGGAGAGGGCTGTAGGAGGTGAGACGAGGCAAGTAACAGAGGGGAGAGCAGAGACCCTGTAGGACATTCAAGGCTCCTGGGAGAGCTCTGACTTTCACTCTCTGAAATGCGAAGCCACTGGACGGTTCTTAGCAGACAACTGATACTATTTGATCTAACACTAAAAAAATCTCATTCTGGTGGCTGACATCGGAATAGACAGGTCAAGGGTGGGAACAGGGAAACAAATTAGGAGGCTCCTGTAAAAATCCAGACAAGAGCTGATGATGGCTTATTTTGGAGTGTCATCAGTGCAGGTGGTTTAGCGGTCAGGTGCTAGATTTATTTGGCAGGTGACCTAGTGCAATTCATTCATCTTTCTAGGTAAAGGTTTTATTTAGGAGGAACAGCATTTTTATTATATCCCAGCACCTTGGCTGTCAAATGGTGCCCTGCAGTTTCTGAGAAGCTTCAGAGGGATGTGCTACCAGGAACTGAGGTGGGACAGATGGGTGGAGTTTCATGTTCCTCTACCCCAGTTTTTAAGGGCAGCTGTGTTGACATACTTCATTATGTGGGGTGAGGGCAACCTTCTTAAGACAGACCAGAAACTCCAATGCCCTAAAGGAAAAGACAGACGCCCCACC